CCGAGAGCACCCTCAGTGACAGGGTGACCCACTGGGCCTACGGAAACCCAGCTGAGCCCTGCTACCCCAGTGTGAGCCATGGGTACCAAGACAGACTAAGGGTGTGCACATGGAGTACTCAGGATTCCTGCATCTGTCCCAGGGCCCCATCCCACAGAAATGACACCCAGCCCTCAGGAGCCCGTTCTGCAACCCAAAGTGCAACCCAGAATCGGTATGTACTTAGTGGCCCTCCGGCACTCCTATGTCTGTTTTTGCTTTTTACTTCAAAGGCACAGTTACAGAGAGAATGGGAGAGACCGAGAAACCTTCCATCTCATCTGCTGGTTCACCCCCAAAATGACCACAGTGGATGAAGCTGGGCCAGGCCAGAGCAAAGAGCCTGGACTACACCTGGGTATCCACATGGGTGCAGGGGCCCAAGCACTTGGGCATCTTCCGCTGCTTTCCCAGGTGCATTAACTGGGAGCTGGGTCAGAAGTGGAGCAGCTGGGACTCAAACAGGCTCTCGTATGGGATGCTGGTGTCACAGGTGGTGGCTTAACCCACCAGGCCACAATACTGGCCCATTGATTTTGCTTCTATAGCTTGCAAGCTCTTGGAGAAGACACAAAATCTAACATTGACAAATTATTGTCTTTGACAGCCACACAAAAGGGGTTTGTAAGCATTCTTTTTCCTACGACTTTTTTCCGTTTTCAAAATCGAGGCGCTGTGAGATCCTGTGGATTTCAGTGCTGAAGGAAAAGTGGGTGTCTTTGGAAATCACCCCACCAAACGCACCTCTTCAGGAAGGCATCGTGTCTCAGTAAGAACACCCCGTGTCCGGTGATGTGGTGCAGCGGGTAAAGCCTCTGTCTACAGCGCTGGCATCCAATATGGGCACCGTTGAGGCCCGGCTGCTCCACTTCCCATCCAGCTCTCTGCTGTGGCCTGGGAAAGCAGCAGCAGATGACCCAAGTTCTTGGGCCCCTGCACCAGTGTGGGAAACCTGGAGGAAGCTCCTGGCTCCGGCATGGCCCAGTCCTAGCAGTTGTGGCCATTTGAGGAGTGTACCAGCAGATGGAAAATCTAAATCTGCTATTCAAATACATAAAGCAAATCTTTAAACAGGGGAAAAAGCCCTTAAAATTAAAAGCGCACGCTGGCGCCGTGGCTCACTTGGCTAATCCTCCACCTTTGGCGCTGGCACACCAGGTTCTAGTCCCGGTTAGGGTGCCAAGTACTAGTCCCGGTTGCTCCTCTTCCACTCCAGCTCTCTGCTGTGGCCCGGGAGGGCAGCGGAGGATGGCCCAAGTGCTGGGGTCCCTGCACCCACATGGGAGACTGGGAGGAAGCACCTGGCTCCTGGCTTCAGATCAGCGCAGCGCCAGCCATACAGGCCATTAGGGGAGTGAACCAAAGGAAGGAAGACCTTTCTGTCTCTATAACTCTACCTGTCAAATAAAAATAAAAAATAAATTAAAAAAAATTAAAGTGTATCATACTGCACACAAACCAAAACCTCAACAAGAAGTTCTCTTTTTAAAACAATCAATGAACATGAAGTCCAGAGCACCCAGCTCCCCCACTCCCAGCATTAAGAAATTCACAACACAGCACAACACTGCCTGCCCCATGTGTTTGTGTTTTTCTTTTCTTTTTTTTTTTTTTTTTTTTGGACAGGCAGAGTGGATAGTGAGAGAGAGAGAGACAGAGAGAAAGGTCTTCCTTTGCCGTTGGTTCACCCTCCAATGGCCGCCGCGGCCGGTGCACCGCGCTGATCCGAAGCCAGGAGCCAGGTGCTTCTCCTGGTCTCCCATGGGGTGCAGGACCCAAACACTTGGGCCATCCTCCACTGCACTCCCGGGCCACAGCAGAGAGCTGGACTGGAAGAGGGGCAACCAGGAAAGAAGCCGGCGCCCCGACCGGGACTAGAACCCGGTGTGCCGGCGCTGCAAGGTGGAGGATTAGCCTAGTGAGCCGCGGCGCCGGCTCCCCATTTGTTTCTAATTCAGCACAACGTCCCTTGAGAAAACCAAGACTCAGGTGCGGAAAATACCAGACACAGCGATGCTTTGTGCACCTTGGAATGCAGTGACGTGGAGCCAGCACCAATGACCAGGACGTGGGGGCGGGGCCTGGCACCATGGCTGTCATCTCACTGGGATCCCTGCATCCCATGTCAGGGAGCCTGGATCAAGTCCCGGCTCCGTCTCCAATGCAGCTTCCTCCTCACACACCCACTGGGAGGCTGCAGGTGATGGGCCCCTGCCACCCACGTGGGAGACCCGGATGGAGCTCCTGGCTCCAGCCTGGTGCAGCCGCGGCTGCTGTGGACATCTGGGGAGTGAGCCGGCAGATGGAAGATCTCCCTCTCTCTCTTCCCCTCTTTAACTCTGCCTTTCAATAAACAACATTCCTGTGGTACAAGTAGACCTAACATTCTATGTGTCAGAAAACCAAACCTAACACCAGCACCGATCTGAACTAATTCTGAACCTGGACCCCAGAGCCGTGTGCTGGGCCCAGAGGGCAAGAACAGGTAAATTCAGGGCAGGCTGAGGACTCACGCCGAAGTGCCTGGGACCAGAAGCGTCTGCATTTCAGCTGTGTGCAGATTTGCAGCATTTAGGAATGCTGTGAATTCTTCTTAACCTAAAAGCTGAACAGGTGTCTAAATGCTTACGGGCACGGGCTGCCAAAAATAGCTGAAAACGCTCCAGGGCGATGAGAATGGGGTCTCGGAGCCAGAGACCCCCTGCGTGAGGACGCACCTGGACGCACCTGGGGACCGGGCGCTGGCTCACTCACTCCTTTCCTTCCCACAGCTGAAAATGGAGCCCAAGATCTTAGAAGCTAATTCAGAAAATATAATTAATCACATCCAAGTCTTGAACCTGTGGGCGAGACACCGACGGAAAAGCTGTTTCAGGCCGCGGTCCGCTGCGTGGGCCCGCACGTTTCTCTCCGGAAGCTCATCTCCATCAGCATGACGTAAAAGCGCTCTAAGACGGCATCTCACGGGCCAAGGTCTCAAACTGTTTCCTAGACTCCTCAACTTGCACAGGAAACGCAAAGACTCCATAAAATGTAGTTTCCTCGAGAATGCAAACGCTAAGTGCTTCTTTGAAATCCTACAGTTCTAGCGGGAGGCTGACTCCAGGGGCATGGTGTGCCTGCTCCTTGGTTTCTCCTGGGATCTCACAGCTGCGTTCACAGACGACTGCAGGACTCTCAGCTGCCGAAAATCACCCCTAAGACGTAACCAGCCACCGCCCGCCTCGACCTCAACAGCGCCAGAGCACGTGGGACTGCCACGTGCACAGGGGACAGCCACCCAACGGGCCCCTGCTGGGCCACAAAATAAGGCCACACGCATTTCCAAACACACTTTGCTGAACACACACATCTCAGGACTCCACCCACTGCAGCGCAAGCTCTGTGGAAGGCGCCTATGTGCCCCGGGCACCCAGGGAGGAAGGAGGGACAGCAGGGCCGCAGTCCCTCACCCTGCGGTCGTGACTGTGGGCAATGCTGGGCCAGGGGGAGGTCCCCCCAGCTCAGCCCTCGCAGGAGCACGGGGACAGGGGACGGGGCTGTGACCCCCTCACCACCCAGCACCCTCCGGCACAGGAGGCTGCCGGACGCCCACCGAGAGGGCCCACACCTAAGCTAAGGAGGCAACGAGACAGCAACAGTTCACGCGTCTTCACTGTCCGTCTCCGACAGACACGGGAGGATGAAACACTTCGGCCGCAGCAGGGGCGAGCCCTGGGCATCCAGGGGGCACCTCCTTCCTCCTGCTCACCAGTGCCGGCTCCACTCCGAGCGAGGAGAACGAGAGAAGGGAAAAACAGGGACAGGTGGACACGTGAGCCCCGGCATCCTAACCGCAGAGCTGGGAGAGCAGCCAGCAATCGCGTAAGCCTGCAGCTGAACCACACGTGCACGGCAGAAGAGCGTCACAGAGACGCCCGGCCCCTACAGAGCAAACAGCACCGACTCACACTCCTCTGACCGTGTGTTCCTGGCCCCCGGCAGCTGCCAGAGGAGCCAGGACGCTGGAGGCTGCGGGACACCTGGTATACCTCAAGGCTGCAGGGAAACAGCTAAGATGCCGCCAACTCTGAGGCAGGCACGGCGCCGGTCGTGAGAACCGCGGCAGTGGGAAAGACTCCACAGCTGTGCTCGGGGGCTCAGAGCAGGCGCGAGGGCCGGGGCACAGACCAGCGCGCGAGGCGCTCCCCATCTCCCAGCCCGGCCACTGATGGGGAAGCTGTGTGCCGAAGCTGCTGTGCCCGGCAGGGTCCTCGGCATCCCGTGACGCGGCCGCGCCCGTGGCCAGGAGCCGCGGTGCAGTTTCATTGTGAGCCGAGCTCAACCAGCCCTGGAAGTTCTCACAGGGGAGAATCCACCAACTTCCACACGCACGACCCGCCACAGACGCTCACAGTGTGGACATGGACAGTCCTTCCCCATCCAGGACACCGTGAAGTGCAGTGGGCAGCACGCTACAGCCTGGAGATGCCAGTCCTGGGTGGAAGCAGTGGTGGACAGGGCGGCTTTGCGAGAGCCAAGCGCATGGGCAGGGAGGGGCCTGGATGCACACGGTCTGCTCCCCTCACTCCCCCGCTGCGAGGCACCGGCAGCTGCTGGGAGCACAACCCAGACCCCAACTGCCCCCTCACGGAAGCTCAGGAAGCAGCGAGGGTCTTGAGTCGTCAGCAAAGCCGCTGTCTGGTTGAAGCACAGCGGGAAATGGCAGGGAAGAGGCAGCTTGCGGTGGGCGCATGTGAGAAGCTGCAGGTTCACAATTGCAAAACTCAGCATCAAGTCCAAACAACACACCGGGCCCTGGCTTTAGGGTAGCCAGGATTCTTGATACTATAAAACAAAACTCACGCAGCTGAGGATCTTTAACCATGTGACTAAAACAGAGAGGGGAGGACCCCACGCCCCACCCCTCCCCAGTCGCGGGAAGAAGGAGCCGGGAGCTGTCTCCCAGGAGGAGCGCTCACCCTGTCCTTGTCGTCCACCACATCACAGAGCACGTCGTCCAGGTCTAGGATCCCTCCGTCTCCATGCTCCAGGCGGTGCACCTGTATCCAGTAGCTCGGGTCCTGCAGAAGAACAGACACATCGGACATGGCAGGTCAGCACCACGATTACTGGGGCACAGCCTGCTGGTCCACAGCAGGAACCCACCCCAGTGCAGCCCTGCCAAACCCAGGCAGCTCCGGTCTGTGGCCGAGTCTCCACCCCTCCACTCAGACGCTGATGCAAAATCCAGACAGGGATTGCAGACAACAGCAATGCAACCTCCCTCAGGAAGCCCAGGCTCCCCAGGACACTCATGGTAACCAATTCCAGCCACGCAACCTGCAGCAAGCCAGCAGCGTGCCCTGCGTGCCTGAAAACCTCCCATTGAGCCCCTCTGCAGAATGCAGGCAGCACATTTGGGGGACCCCACGTGCTCCTCAGCACCAGGGGTGAAGAGACACACACAGGAGACGGCTGACGAGACGCGACAAATAGACTCAGAACGGGCCGTGCGATGCGAGCCTCTTTTTATAAAGGCAAAGTTACACACACATACCAGTGCATTTTAAAACGCCCTAACAGGGACAGAAGTTGTGGCACAGTGGGTTAAGCTCCCTCTTGAGACGCCCACATCCAATATGCAAGTGCCTGAGTTCGAGTCCCAGCTACTCCACACTTCCCATCCAGCTTCCTGCTAATGCACACCCTGGGAGGCAGCTGATGGCCCAAGCACACGCCTTCCTGCCACCCAGGCAGGAGACCTGGATGGAGCTCCTGGCTGCCCAGCCCCACCTGTTGTGGGGATCTGGGGGAATGATCAGTGGATGGAAGCTCTCGCTCGTGTTCCGTGTCGCTCTCTTCCAAATCAATAAACCTTTTATTAAAGAAACAAACGTCCAAAACCTATGTGAATAGTGTCTTTCTAAGACATTTGAAGAAGGGAACATAGTTGATTCTGAGTCAACCTCAACCACAGACTCAAGGAGAAACCCATGAACATGTGTGTCTCCCCGTGAGCGACAGCTGGACCCCTGCGAAAGAAGGGTTCATCTCGAACAGGAGTCTCTTGCATCACACATACTCACACGTGCACATACACACTCAAACATGTACACACTCATGCAATCCACACACACACACACACACATACACTCAGGCAATTCACATAATCACACATACACACACACACTCGTGCAATCCATATTCTCTCTGGCTCCTCTTCCACTGCCACCTCCCTGTGGGGAGCAACTCGGACTAGACTAAGTTACTGGAATTAAGACTTATTCTATGCATCTGCTCTCCCACAATATGGCGCTGGGAGAGGAGGAAACAGCTTCTACACAGCTGCCTCCAGTTCAACCAATAAACTGTAGGACCTGCTCCTGATTGGAGGAGAGCAGCGTACTCGGCGTGTGGGTAGCAGAGTTGGGATTGGTGGAAGGACTATAAAGGAGGAGAGAGACAACATGCACCAGGAACATCTAAGGGGAACATCTATCTGAAGGAACACCTGTGCAGCCCCCGAGAGAGCCGGCCGGCGGTGTGCCGCTCTCCTGCAGAAGTGGGGAAAGTGGCAGGGGGAACCGCCCTTCCACGGAGGTGGAAGGAACGGCAGCCAACCCGGGAAGAACCAGCAGCAAACCCGGGGAGGGCCGAGCAGACAAAAGAACAGCGCAGGGTCCTGTGTCGTTCCTCCACGAAGAGGGGGAGCAACACCTCCCCTGGGAGCACTCGGCTTCACCGATCCCATCCATCAGAAAGGCACCAAACACCAAGTCCCAGCTCCAGGAAGCAACCCTCCGGCCACCACCCCTCACCTCTCACAGGGCCACCCCACTCCCACAGCTGCTCGGCAGCCTCCCTGACCAACCAGGCCCACCACAGGCAGTCTTCGGCGCCTGCCCCACTGTGGGAACAGCCCTGATGCTGGGGCAAAGCGGCAGTGAGACAGCAGCCGCCTGCCACACTGGGTGAGGTCCTACCGCCCTGAAAAGCCCGTCTGTGCGTGCTGTCCGAGGTGGGCGGAGGGTTTACACACGACAAAGCCCAGAGCCAGCCTATGCTGCTGACCAGCGGTCACAATCAACTCTCACCGTCAGCCAGGACCCCGACCAGGGCTGCCCACCTGATTCCCAGCCTGACCCAGAGGGACACGGCCAGGCCAGCAGCACCCACGCTTCTGTCCTCTCTCTGCCACCCCCTCCTTCCAGCTGCTTCCCAGAGCCATAAAACACTTGTTTTAATGAAAACCTTGGGACTCCTAAAAAAAAAAAAAAATACAGCAGGTTTGCAGAAGCACCCACATCGAACATTCTGTCGCCGGCTCTGATCTCGCCCGTGAGCCACAGCTGTGGTTCTCGGCGTGCCGCCAGCCCAGCGTCAATCCTGAGAATTTGACTTGGCCCCACCCAGGTTCCCACGGAGTCTGTCCAGGGGTAAACTGAGTCTGAGACCCAGTTCTCTGTCAACAAAGACAACGGCCACCGTACATGTGTCAGGTCAGAGGCTTTTTAAGATTTATTTATTTATTTGAAAGTCAGAGTTACACAGAGGAGAGGCAGAGAGCTCTTCCATCCGATGGTTCACTCCCCAATTGGCCGCAACAGCGGGAGCTGGGCTGATCCGAAGCCAGGAGCCAGGAGCTTCCTCAGGGTCTCCCACGTGGGTGCAGGGGCCCAAGGCCTTGGACCATCCTCCACTGCTTTCCCAGGTCATAGCAGAGAGCTGGATCGGAAGTGGAGCAGCCGGATCTCAAACACTCGGGCCCATAAGGGATGCCGGAACTGCAGGCAGCAGCTTTACCCACTAGGCCACAACGCCGGCCCCAGATCAGAGGTTTTAACAAATAACGGTACCGAACAGGAAGCCGGCATTGAGGTGCAGCTTGTGATACCAGCATCCCATATGGGCACAGGTTCGATCCCAACCCAGCTCCCTGCTAATGGCTTGGGAAAAAAAGCGGAAGATGGTACAGTGCTTGTGTCCCTGCCACCCACAGGAGACCCGGATGAAGCTGGGTCTTGGCCCTGACCACTGTGGGTTTCTGGACAATGAACCACCGGATGGAAGATTTCTCATTCTCTCTCTCTCTCTCTCTCTCTCCACCTGTAACTTTGACTTTCAAATAAACAAACCTTTAAAAAACGAGAGCTGAGAACACCCAATCGAGGAAACCACCCCACAGCAGCTCAAACGGTGTCCACCGGAGGCTGTGGACGCCACGTGCTCAGTAGTTCAAACAGAACAGGAGACAAGACAGAAACCGCCCCGTGAGGGACGGGCAGCCCCTGTGTGCTCTCCGGCTTCCCGGGACACACGTGCACACCACCTTTCACTGCAATCCCCTTGGAGAGCTCGGGAGCACACGTCTTCTTGCCCACCCTTCTTCCTATCCTCGCGATGACCTTGTCACCTCCACACTCCCAGCCCTGCCCTGCGTGTGGCAATAAGCCAATGTCCACAAAACGTCCCTTGGGTGTCACAGTCGTGTCACAGGAGCCATCTCCCACAGGCCAGACGCCCACCCCTCGCTGAGTCCACCCCTACGGCTCCCCACCCCGTCCCCTCCAGGCTGCCTGGCCGTCCTGCACTCCACGCTCCCTATGTGGGTCTGAACCAAGGAGGCCGCACGCTTCTGTCTGCTGTCCACACTCCTCCAACGCCTTCATCCCCACAGCCCAGTGACCACCATAGTCAGCTGATCCCACCTATCCCCACACCCACCGCTGTGTGGCACAGGCCACCGAGACCCCACCCCTGCCCCTGGACACGATGCCAGAGGCACAGACCACCTCCAGCTCTCCTTTAGCTCAGAACGAAGAACAAAGCCTGCGTTGTCGAAATAATGTGCACTCGGGGAAAAACTAAAATACTATCTGTGTGGGGCCAATGGAAGGAATGTGCCCCAGAGAGAACAATGAACACACACAGGCTCCCGCTCTCCCAGGGCCAAGAGAAACACCAGGCCACAACGTGGGACCCCCTCCCCGCCCCCTGCCCACGCCGCGGCTGCTCAGCTCCACTGCCCACTCCGCGAAAGGAACGCAGGCCGCAGGGGGAACACCTTTGTCTGCTGCACAGGTGAGAGCACACCTGGATGAACCTGCTCCCATCCCAGTGCAGGAAGCTCCTGGTTCCACTCCCAGTGGGGGGCGGGAAGCACTTCACCCGGCGAGCTACTCAGCGAAGGCGGACACCGGCGAGGTGGTGGCCATGAGACATCGCCACGCTCATGTGCCAGCGACTCAGCACCCACAGGACGTCCTGCCCCAAAGCCACAAGCTCTGCACCCATCGGCACCAGCAAGGAGGCCGCTGAGGCTGTGCCTGCTCGGAAGTCATCACCACGGTGGGTGACAGCCCCAAGCCTCCTGGCGCGTGCAGCTCCATTGCACAGATGAGCAGACAGAGGGCCCTGGAACAAAAGGCGACAAGCAAACCAAGGAGGGCTAAGCTCGGGTTTGACTCTGACCTGGAAATCAGCGCCAGGTTCTGCCTCTTCCAGGGGGGTCAACAGGTTTGTGAAGCGCATGCAGGGGAGGAATTAAGGCAATGACCAAGGGAAAAAACTCTTGTTTCAGACTTAGAATGGGGGGGACAATGATGACAACTGTACCGCCCACCAGGCAGTAAACTTGACCAAGTTCTATAAGATAAGAAAGGCTTCCCCACAAGTTACCCATTAAAGACCTAAGAAGAGAGACCAGAAATATTCACAGGGCCAGAGCTGCAGCACAACAGGTAAAGTCGCCACCTGCCACCCCGGCATCCCATGTGAGCAACAGTTCCTGTCCCAGCTGCTCCGTTCCGATGCAGCTCCCTGCTAATGCCTTGGAAAAGTACTGCAAGATGGCTCTCATGCTTGGGCCACTGCCACCCACATGGGAGACTTGGAAGAGGCTCCTGGTTTCAGCCTGGCCCAGCCCTGACCACTGTAGCCACTTGGGCAGTGAACCAGTAGACAGAAGCTCGCTCTCTGCCCCCTCTCTCTGTAGCTCCTTCAAATAAATAAATAAATATTTAAAAATATATATATATACAATAGGGGGCAGGCTGTGTGGCACATCCAAGTGCCTGGTTCA